TTGCAGCGGGAAGTGGCGGCGTTAAAGTTGGGTAATAGAAAAAACCGATGTTTTGAATGCGGCAAGCCAGGACACTGGAGAAGAGACTGCCCAGAAAGACAGAAAAGGAAAAATTTCAGACGGTATAATGCTTGTTCTTTCTTTCGTATGAACCTAGACTTAGTGGGGGCGATTGAGAAAGGGGCTATGTATTCGAAGTTGCGAGTAAATGATCGAGAAGTAGTATGCTTAGTAGATACAGGAGCGGCCGTGTCGTTGATAGATAAGAATTTATGTAAGAGCGTTAGTCCGTGTTCGTTGACAGTACAAACAGTAGGTGGGCATGTGTTGCGTATAACGGGTAGGTCGAACTGTACGATTGTTGTTGGAGGGTGCGAGGTGACGTTTCCTTTCATTGTTGTGCCCGAACTACAGCGAACGATATTAGGAGCGGATTTTCTGCGGGAGATTGGTGCAATAATTGACACGCAAGCGGAAGTGGTGCTCACGAAATACGGGCGTATCAAAATGTATGAGACCAGCGAGATAGCAGCGGTGAACCTGTCGACGGTATACAACATGACAGATTTAATTAAGAAATACGATCATCTGTTCACTGGAGATGGCGATCCATACGGCTATTGCGACAAGGTGAATCATGAAATTCCGTTAACTAATCCAAAAGTAATGTCATTTACATCGCGAAGAATACCATGTCATCTGGAAGGCGAAGTGAAGCGGCAAGTGCAAGAGATGTTAAAAGACGATATTATTGAAGAAGCTGATAGCCTGTACAACTCTCCAGTGCTGTTAGTAAAGAAAGCGAATGGGAAGTATAGATTCTGTGTTGACTTTCGACAACTAAACAGTATGACAGAGTTAAAACCGTGTGCCATGCCAACAGTGGTGGAAACTTTAGACCGCCTACAAGGCGCGAATGTGTTTTCCGTTTTCGATCTTCGCTCAGGGTACTGGCAGATACCGATAAAACCAGGTGATAGAGATAAGACGGCATTCAGCGTAGGCCAGACACAATATCGATTTAAACGCATGCCATTGGGACTAGCAGGTGCACCGTTCACGTTCAGACGACTGATGACGCTATTACTTAAGAACTTGAAAAACGTTGAGGTGTACGGTGATGATCTCGTCATATATAGTCAAAACGAAAACGATCATGTGAACCATGTGGAAGCCGTGCTGCGACGCATCGAAGAGTTTGGACTGCGCGTCAACAAAACCAAGTCTCAGATAGCCAAAAAGAATGTAACTCTTCTGGGACATAAAGTGGGAAGTGGTGTGATTAAACCACTACCGGAGAAAATCTTGACGATAAAGACGATCCCGGCCCCAAATTCAAAGAGGAAATTGAGGCAATTCTTGGGTAGAGCGGCGTTTTATAGTCGATTCGTGAAGAACTTCAATGAGATAGCAGCCCCTCTATACAGGCTACTAGGTGAGCCGAAGTTTGTTTGGTCGGAAGAATCGCAGAGGACATTTGACAGAATTAAACACCTGTTCGACCACCAACAAATGACGCTAAAACTACCTGTACCTGGAAGACAGTTTACAGTATGCACAGATGCCAGTGACTACGCCATAGGTGCGGTCCTAAGACAAGGTGATGGAATCGTTGAGTATGCCAGTCGAGTTTTAACACTCACAGAGAGAAAGTATTCAACGATAGAGAAAGAATGTTTAGCAATGGTATGGGCAGTCGACAAATGGCGACCTTATTTACTCGGCCGGCGGTTCCACATCGAAACTGATCATAAGCCGCTACAATTTTTGAAGACAGCGAGAGACCCACGGGGGAAATTGTCACGGTGGATGTTGCGTCTTCAGGAGTACGATTTTACGATCTCACACGTTCCTGGAAGTGAAAATGTCTTGGCAGATTTGTTATCGAGACCAGAAGACGAGCCTGAGTTGCCCGAGGTCGCTTACGGAGTGCATGCTGTAGAGCAAGACCCACTAAAACTTGCACGCAAGCAAAGGTTGGATGATACGCTGAATACAGTGATACAGGTGATAACCAACGGGATAGAAGTAGATCAAGCTACGGCGAGTAAGGAGCTAACCACACTACTCAGACAGAGAGATCGACTAAGAGTGAATGCCTACGGGACTCTGACCTGGCGAGAGAACGACGGAAACTGGCTGGCTATCATACCTCAGTCCTCGCGCCACAACATGATAGAAGAATGTCACCAGCTAGCACATACAGGCGTGGCCAGAACAACTGACCTCCTAAGACAAAGCATGTACTGGCCAGGTATGAGAGAAGACGTAGCAAGATACGTACTTGGATGTCCACGGTGCCAGCTAATGAAAGGCGACCGGTGCATACGACCACCGCTTCAGTCGATTCCAGTTACGGCGATAGGTGACTTGTGGTCCGTAGATGTTATGGGTCCATTTCCGCAGACATCTAATGGTAATCAGTACCTCCTGGTGATGACGGAACACGCGACACGATGGGTAGACGCCGTAGCGATCCCAGATCAACGTGCAAAGACCGTGACAGACGCAGTAGTTAAACACATCGTTGCAGACCACGGCGTACCAAAGACGATACTGACGGACCAAGGTCCCTGTTTCGAAAGTGAAGAATTTACTTCCCGTTTGCAACAGCTGGGCATCAAGAGGATCAGAACGACCCCATATCATCCACAGACGAATGGCCTAACGGAGAGAAACAACCGTACACTGAAGGAGTGGCTGGCCTCGAAGGGCGGTAACTGGGAAACGGAGCTTCCACTGATTTTACTGACGCATCGGGCTACCACTCAGGAAACAACGAAGAAGTCACCCTTTCAACTGATGTATGGTAGAAAACCACGATTACCGATACACAACGAGACCTGGCCCCTTCACCAAAAGTGGAGTACGACGAAATTAAAAGCAGAGCGGAAAGAGGCCGTCCAGAATGTAATACGGAAGCAGCGGAGTGATGTCGCGAAGTCTCAGATGAAAGAAAAGACGCGGTGCATCACCTTTGCAGTCGGGGACCAAGTGAAGTGTAGAGACAGGAGATATACAGTTGGAGGCGGGCCAGGTTCACGGAAACTCCTGCCAAAGTGGGAAGGACCATACACAATCACAAAAAGACGGGGTCAAGTATATACCATCCGAAGAGGTGACAAACAGAAACGAGTTAATGCCAGTCAGCTCCAACGATGGGTACAGTGGGACAAGCCGATCAGCAACAATCCTCAACTAGAGAATGTAGCACCAAGAAGGTCGGAACGCCTGCGTACGAAGCTATTTGACGGGGGGACGAGTGTGGTGAGAGCAAGCTGCTAGCCAATTGGTAGACATTGATCTACGCTGATTGGTAGAAATTAATCTAGGCTGATTCAAGGACCAATCACAGCTGACCTTGACATGGACAAATGTGATTCGCAGACAAGTGGCTCGCATTTCCGAGAAACATAGAAAACGAGAAAGCAGAAGACTGCGTTTGTGTGCAAACAACCAATCAGAAGACCGCCTTCTTTCTGCGGGCAGAAGTCTATTAATGTATGTAAAATGCATATAAATACATGTTGGTTATCGTAATAAAACTGATCTGTTGCCAGCCTTGTCTTCTGTTGTTACACCTGTACCACAGTACACTTACTGGTATAGTTTTAATATGTCTTTACTGGATATACTGTGTGGTGACACCGATAGATTTATGACTGTAGAGCTTGAGGAGGGAGTTATTGAAAATAACTGTTCACTGTAATTATTCGTGTTCTAAATATCTGCATTGTTTGGAAACATAAGCTAATGTGTTCGCATCCACAGTAAGGAATGTGTTTAAAAGAAATTTTCGTTACAGAAGTGTTAATTTTCACGGATTTGATTGCTTACAGGTTCGATCACGAGGTGACATTATTTCGAGAATATCTGGACAACCGAGGAAAACCAGACAGATATTTTGTTCTAGTTTGAGACGCTTCAGCACTCATGAGCTCACGAGGTCGAACTTAAGAACTCTTGGACCATCCGACCACTGGGACCCAATCCAATGGTCGATGAATTCCAGCTTCTCACAATCCGCGATATTTAGCACAACCATCAGTCAATGTAATAGGCGAGTAAATATCCTCTTATCAAACTCGGCTGGCATCTCTAGTCATTACAAAACTTATGGAGATACAACATTCTCTGCAGCTAAACTTCATCACACAGACCACGGATGAGTCAATAACGTATATTTTTTCAGGATTTTTGACTCCCTTCAAAAAGTCGAAAGTTAAAAGTGCAGTCTATTCTCCGTTTTGATAGACTAAACACAATTACTCTAGATTGTGGGTAAATAAACATAAAGTAACCATATGCGCGTCGGTGGCACGGCGGTAAAATGCTCGCCAACCACGCAGGTGGTCCGTGGTGCGATCCCCAGCCACACTCCTAAAACACCTCGCTAAGCCAGTAGTAGGACTGGTTAAGGGGAAGGTCTGGCATGAGGCCAGCGACCCAATCCTGTAAAAATAAACCCTAATGCTGTCGAAACTTCACTGGGAAACGTAAAGAATTAAAAAAACCATATGTAAAATTCATCAACAAGCCATATCAGTTAGGGAGTCATTAAAAGTCACGAAACACTGGACAGGTGTTTTATCCCCACTTGGAACTCCTCATCAGTTCTCCCCCGTAACTCCACAAGGGGTCGAACTCTGAACACCAACGTTACAATGCCACGCCACTGGGTCATATTTAAATGACCTGTGAATCCCAACTCTGTTGCTTAATGATATGGTGAAACGCACTTACTACGACTGCTTATAAGAATTTCAGAACACCTATCCAATAGCCATTGATTAGCTGGAGATTTAAATTGAGACCTTAGATTTCATAAGGATTTCAATAAACTACAATTTCATGAACCGATATTAGCAATTGATCCCCTGGTGGAATCGTTTGTTGAAAAGAAAACTCACAACAAATAGAAGCGAATTAATACAACCGTTGCACTCAAACTAGTCAAAAAAAAACTACAAATCAGTGAACAGTGTTCGCTAAAAACTAACCTTCATCATTAAGATTAATGTATTAATTGCAATCATAACCATTATGTAATATTCAAATGGAGTAGAAACAACAAGTCGCCAAACACGATACTTCATTGAATGTTTATCTTTGGGCATATATCGACATAATGGTCTTGCATTGATAGCAAAATCAATACAGCGTTTCTACAATATGACAGGATAAAAAAAATTAATACAATTTATTGAGTGGAATAAGTTCTGACATAAAACTGCCATTTCACATGCACCTGTATCAGTAAGTACATTGGAAAGATTGACAGGAAAGCCTTCACTAGGGTTTCTTAGTATACCTCCAACAATCTTCATATGGAAAACAATAAAGTGTTTACAAGGCCAATCGCTATCACCTAATTTATGCAGGACATTCAATCGAAATCAATTGAGTCTTCACAATAATCAATTTACATGGCTTCTTCGCTTCTCAGATGCCAATGTTATCAAAGGAATTCAACGTAATCCCTGTATACTGAAAGATAGATTGATTAGAAGTCGGCATATTCTGGTCACTAGACGTCTCAGCTGTGTTTCTCAGTTGCATCCAAATTTCTTTTGATCACAGCTCACTGAGCTGAACTCAGTATTAATCTTCCAATTCACTTGACTGTTGATTTACTTAATAATTTTACTTTCATCTGCCATTTCCCTTCATTCCCACCCTCTCCTCTCCATCCATAATGTTTAATTAAACTCTGGTTTTTGGATTGTTAACTATCTATCCCTTGTTGATATAAGATGGTTGGAGGCTATCACCTAAAAGCCCTGGATCTAGGTTTCGTGCTTGTTGGCACTCGTCATTTCTGAGGGAACACAGTCCTTTCTGGGATTCGAACCTGCATCATCCAGCAATGCGGTTAGCGATATTACTAATGCGTTATTCGGGATCACGATTGACCTTCTGTAGGACTGTATTGGATACTTTGACTGGACAATATTTAGTAACTAGTATAGTGTGTCTAATCCTTTGTTTGGTGCAGACTGGATTCAGTCAATCAGGTTTGCAGTGTGGGCACCATTCTAGGTGGCTTGCTATCACAATGCACTTTGACTTTGCAAACTTGTCTGATGCAATTCAGTCTGCACCAAACATAGGACTAGAAATACTAAACTAGTTACTAACTAGTAAATGAAATATCCCCATATTGAAATCAAAACAAGATTTTGAGCGAACAATTGTTTTCGATAACTTCTTCTTCAGGCTCTACAGTTATAAATCCATGAATAATAGAGTACATATAGCCAATAAAGGCAAATGAAAATAATATCAGAAACTGTATTGGGGTGCATGTGTAAGTTGAGATGATAGTCCATTAGTTAACATAGTCAATCAAATGTGTATAGTCAGAAAAAATGTGATGAAGTGTGAATGAACAATTGGGTGATATGGTGTTGTTTTATAGTCAACAGAATACAAGTGTCATTGGGGTGAGAGAAATGCGATAACCACAAAATACATGCAAACACACATTAACAAAGGGGACACTGAATGTGAGTGCTGACCGATAATGTCTAATGATAAAATAAAGAGGCTAAATTGTAAAATGTAATAAGGTGTTACCGAAATGGTAGGCTTAGTATAAAATCATAAAGGCTGACAAAATTAAGGGTAACAATGAGTTGTGTATCGATTACCGAACAGTCTCCCCAAAGGCACACGAGTACGCCTCCTAGCCATAGCTGAGGCTTTAGAGATTAATAGAGAAAGACCACACTTATATGCACAGAAAAAACTTATTCACTCTCTCTGTCTACCCTGGCCCACTATAAGGTCACCAGGATCATAATTTTCCGTATTATTATTGCCATTATTATCATTTTGTGATATCATGTCTTTATTATCCATTTCTCCACCCAGTTTATTTCACCTCATTGTTACCCTTAATTTTGTCAACCTTTATGATTTTATACTAAGCCTACCAATTCGGTAACACCTTATTACATTTTACAATTTAGCCACTTTATTTTATCATTAGACATTATCGGTCAGCACTCACATTCAGTGTCCCCTTTGTTAATGTGTGTTTGCATGTATTTTGTGGTTATCGCATTTCTCTCACCCCAATGACACTTGTATTCTGTTGACTATAAAACAACACCATATCACCCAATTGTTCATTCACACTTCATCACATTTTTTTCTGACTATACACCCTATATACATTTTGATTTACTAACTAGTGTCCAATCAAACCATCTATCCCTTGTTCCACAACTATACCCTCTGATTTGAAGTAATTTTGAAGTATATTCTATATTTTTGCATTTATAATAACTTGGCTCATCTTTTAGGCTGTTATTAGGTGGCGAAAAGTCGTGAAATAAAAAACGAGCCCCATTCTTACCTGTAAAATCTGTTCATTCTCTTTTTTTAAAAACTGAGCACTTCGTAAAGAATCAAAGTAAATCGTTGCGATGTGTACCTGTACTAATATTATTTATTCGGTGAATTTGAAGAAGCCCATTAACGTTGAAACGGTCAGTCATTCTTATTTAGTATTGTGGTTAGAACTAGTTTATTAAAATCCATGTTAGAGGTAGCAGTAGGTTTCCACTGCAGTAAAATTCACGTCGTAATTCTAATTCAAACATAAAACTAAGCCTAATTGCCCATTACTCATCGGATGATAAAAATACCACCATATCTTTCAGAAGTGCCACCTAGGTTACGTTGTTCTTTACTGGTAGATTCCCAGTTCTCTGAGTAGTTGTAGAATTCTCCAGTTTAAAGAAAAGAAAATTCAAAAGTTTGAGTCTGTTAAATGAGCCAGCAAACGACCCATACGAGGGAGCCAATAAGCGATACACAGCATATCGCTAAGCCATTGCGATAATGATATTTGAACTACAGCTCTTTTGTAATCTTATGTACACTAAAATATCGTTGAAACATACAGGAAACTCAGTTGTTGGTTCGCAGCGATTGGGTTTGATCGGTTACCTGATTTCACGATGGACTTACATCAATTAGAGAACCACTGGAAAACCAGGGAGTACTGGACAGTTGTTTCGTCCTATTTTTGGACTCTTCACAGTACCCACCCAGGAAACTGCCAGCGAAATGGTCAATTTCTGGGATTTAGATAACTATTTGATTAAAACACCATGAATACGGTAGAAAACAATCAATGGGATGAAAATGCAATTCAAATTGTGAGCCGCAATTATTCTCCATTATTTCAAAGATGTCAAGATTGCTTATTAGTGTTAAAATGAATGGTGAAAGAGAGACATAAGACTGTTTTGTATGCAAGGATTTAATTACACCACACCAGCCGATGTTTTATCAAAATAGTTTTATGTTTTTTTTAGCATGTAGGGTAACGCATTCCTAACGTATTTAGTAAGAAGTTGGTAAGCTTGTGTAACTGAGGTTTCGTTTTTGTGTACTTTTCAGTTTTGTACAGTAAGGAAAGAGGTGAGAATTCAGAGAATGAATTCTAGTTACGTTCTTGAAATGAGAAAAAATACTGAAAGTCTAAGTTGTTTACTTCTTCTGGCTTATACCGTTTCGTGAAGAAGTGGACATTGACTTCGGCAACATTTTATGCGTCGTTAACAGATAACCGATGGTAACAATAGGTGATCAAATAAATTGAATACTAATCGGTCTGGCCTCATAAAATGGAGGGTCCATTTTCGATTCCTGGTAGGATCGCGGATGCATATTTCTGAACGGTGCCAATTCAGGGCCAAACAGTTAACCAGTACTTCCTAGTTTTGTAATAATTCTCCAATTAACAATCGTTTGTGATAAAACCTATATTACGGTTAATCCACATCCTTAGAAAACCTGTAACCTAAATTGAAAATGCCTGTAAATGGATGTATAAAGTAGTTCAATGTAGAGACACGCTATAATTTGATCCCAAAGTCACTGCCCGTATCGCCGTGGGTGCGTACTGATGAAGAGTTCGAAAATAGGGCGAAACGGTTATCCAGTACTCCCAGGTTTTCCAATGGTTCTCTAACCAGTGTTAGCTCATGATGAAATCATGTAACCAATCAATTAAATCCCTACAAACCAGTATTTGAAAGAGGGAAATAGTCGGAGTGAGCAAGAGAGTGATTAAGGATATGTTGTCGGAACGCACTGAAGCTATAAAAAAAATCTTGGTTTTTCTAATTTAAAACTTTCTACAATTGTGCACCCACGTTCCAACAAAAGAGTAAGGCGGGAGTTTCGAATCCATAAATTACAGTTTACTAGTTATTCATCTCTAACGGATTCATTGTTGTGATACTAATGTACCTGCCTGCAAACACAACAATCCTGAGCTTGATATCTCACAAGGTTTTAACTGTCCACTTCTAAAAAAATTCCAAAACTAAACCGAAACACAGCTTGTTACAATTCAGACTATCATGACATGAATGACCAAAAAGTAATATATCTAAGTTCCCATGCCTATGAGTATTTTTTTTATTATAGCTTCATTCCACACCGTATATTGTGAATATAGCGTAACAGTCGTGTTAATTGCCACTGTAACATATAGTCGACGGAAGTAGTTTTTTATCAGATAGCTTTGAGTAATTAAGTTGAAACGATGTCAAGGAAACAGATCACTTAAAAAGAAATAAATTAGAACATTTTCTCCATTAACTAAATGCACTGGCAATTATGAAATAGTTATTGTTCAAGTGCCTTTTATAAAAAGTTCGTTATTTATACAGTGATTTGTTCTTACCACCTGTGATACTAAGCACAACTGAGTCAGTTAGCTAGATGGGTGTTTATAAATCGTGATTGGAGCATACTTGCACCTTACAAATGCCATTCTAAAACAGACACCTCAAATACGCGGAGCAGACTGTTCAACCGTGCTGTCATTTGTACACATTTAGGTGAAATATTAATAGTCCCATAAACAGATTAAAAGATATAATCACACTGTAAAAGATACTGTGTGCGTCGGTGGCATAGCGGTTAGGACGCTCGCCGATCATGCACATGGCCCGGGTTCGATCCCCGGCCACAGACGCACTCCTTTACCTCGCTGAGCCAGAAATAATGCTGGTGAAGAGGGAAGGTTGGGCATGAGGCTAGCAACCCCATCCTGTAAAATAAACACTGCTACAGAAACTTCAAGCCACTAGCT